ACGGTCTTCTTAAGATGTGTATGCAGACATGTATTTTAGTATATACAGTGGATCCTTGGTATCTGTGGTTTGGTTCACCATGGATGCTTAAGTTCCATTCTATACAATGGCAGAATAAAATGACAAAATCTAGGTTTATTTTTAAAGCTATGGATGGTTGAACTCAGGGACCCAGAAAGTCAACTGTACATGCCTACATATATCTTAGCACAAGCATAATACTGAATTATGCTTTTGAAATATTTTTGATGAGGCACAGATCTTATAATTTTCGCAATAGACTAAACCAGCTTACTTCAGAAAAGTCTGGGCAAAATACGTGCCTGAATCTCCTGCAGAGCCTCATCTATATTAGATCCATTCATTCAGCTGTTGAACAATGAGTTGACACTGACATAAACCCCACTGAATCAATGGGCCTAATCTAATTGGGAACATCAATAGAGTTCTGGCCAAAGCCTAGGATAGGGGTGGATGCCCACTATATGTTATTAAAACTCAACTTCTGGAATACCTATATGCTCTGATAGGGCTACTGGGACAAGCAGTCTGATAGCATCTGGAGAACCGCATTATTACACCTGTAGTTAGACTATTGCAGTGACTCTTTCGAGTTTTGATCAAACTTAATCCATTTTAGACACCTGTCTTCCTAAACGAAAGTATTTTTCAGCTGTAATCTGAATACAATTAACATCATTTCCCCTGGTTTTACTCACTTCAAGACCAATACAACAAATCTACCTAGACAGTCAACTGAACTCATGACTTAATTTTATGTAATAATGCAGCTGATCACTCATCTTGTACATGAATGCAAAACAATATTTTAGCAATTTGTAGGGAGAAGTGGACATATTAAAAGGAAAGTGGGCCACAGGAGAGTCAGAACCCACTGTATTTTCTTTTCAACTCAAACGTATGAATTTGTCTCAGGAGTGAACACAAGGCACAAGTTCGAGACCAATGTAGGAAATTATTGGCAAATATTGCAAAAATATGTTTGTCGATCTTCTACAAGCATAGGAATGAGTCAAATGAAAGATTACCCAACACCCCTCGCCCCAAGAAATGCTGACTTGTGGCTTGGATGTGGTGGACTTTCTCATATGGATCAAAATGTGCAATGGGAAACTTCAACAGAAATTATTGATGCTCATCATTGTCCTCATATGAACTGGACACATTCTTTGGCAAGTCATATATTCATGTGTGCCTATATTTTCTGATGGGAAGGTTCAACTGGGTGCTTTGGGTTTTCTGCATCAAACAGAAGATTGTTTATTGATATTGACTGTTATGTATAATGTATAATGTGTTTTAATTTACCCATGATACTGTCTTGTGATAATTTGTAATATGTAAACTGCTTTGAGTCGCCTAAGGGCTGAGAAGAGCGGTATAAAAATAAAGTAAATAAATAAATAAATAAATAAATAAAATTGATCCACATGGTTTGCAAGGCTCTTTTCAACAATATAAATAGTTATTTTCTCTAAAAAACAATAAATATTAACAGGTTAAAAACAGCCTAGAAGCACATAAGGATATATTTTTGGAATCCAACCCAAGACTCCTCCAAAATGCAAACAATGTTCATTCTACTTTGCTACAAAAATGCTGAATAAAAATAAAAGAGATTTCTGTTTTGGATTCTTGGTAAGTTGATGTCTTATTTAGCCCTGGAACAAAGAGAGAAGGGGAAAAAGAAGGAAATTCTGATTCAAACACACACACCTTTCCTTCTCTGGAGTAGAAGAGGACCATATAAGCGCATGATGCCTCTTCTTCCATAATTTGTCCTTACAACTCCGCCTTACCAGATTGTGGCATATCCACAAAGAGTCTTAAAGGCCCATCTCTTTTGTGCGTTGCATGATTGTGACCTACTTATCACATATACCCAACAGATCTGCAACCCCAATATTGTTTACATAGTTTGATGGCCTTATGAAGAATGAACCCAGAGAAGGAGACAGAAAGGGTCCTGTCTGGAAAGCTTCTGGATTGCAGAGGCTAAAAAAGTTACTTAAGACTCCAACTTCTAGAATCGCTGGTTCTACTTGTTCCTTATCAGTATTTCAAGAATATTGGTTTAACTGAAATGTTACCATCACAGCAGTAGTAGCAATCGGCACTGCTTTGGTGGAGCACTTCCACTTTTTGTTTGCAATTGTGGGGATTGGACTGACATATTGGTCCAATCCCCATGATGTGTGGGTTCTGTTGATTGGCTTTAACAACATTAAGAGATGGACTTCTTTGGTTTATTTTTTTACTAGAGTTGTATCTACAGATTTGCTGGACAGTTTTCACATGGGGGGCAGGCATCATGCACCATGATCTCACAAAAATGAAGGGTCTAATGTAGTGGTTCTCAGCCTGTGGGTCCCTAGATGTTTTGGCCTTCAACTCCCAGAAATCCTAACAGCTGCTAAATTGGCTGGGATTTCAGGGAGTTGTAGGCCAAAACACCTGGGGACCCACAGGGTGAGAACCACTGGCCTAAAGCAAATGAAATACAACTCATTGTCTTTTCTTCCTGTGTTCTAATTATATAATAAAGACTGTGATTCTGGGACAAACTCTGGCACTAAAGCTGATTTCTGGGATTCAGTTGCCCGCTTAGTCAATTCTGATATTTGTTGCAACAAAAACAAGATTAAGAAATTGCTTCCTTTTTACACAGAAACTATTCAAAATAACTCTAGGATGCCTCATACCAATTCACAGTAAAATAATCCATTTAAAAAAAAAGTTTTATTCACATTACATTTCCCAGTATCAGAAATTGTGTATAATTTTGTTTTGAAAGAGACCAGCAGTTCTATATCATTTTAATCAATAATTCACCTAAGAGACCAAATTAAGGGATGTTTGCTTGAGTACCCACCCCCTTTTGATCTCTCTACTCCTGCTTGCATGGAAGTATAGATTGCCATTGGATTGGTTCAAGCATATGTCGTCATCATCTCATTTGATAACTTTGCTCTGTATCGCTTTCAACTGAATGCTGAGCCAATTCACACATTACATTTTTGACATTATATCTAATTCCGATATTAAAAAGTATTCTATTGTACACTTAATGGCAGTTTGTTTTTGAACTACAATTCCCAGCATCACCTGAACAGCATGAGGGATTCTGGAAGCTTTAGTCCCCCAAAGCCAAGCTAGGACAACATTGGGTGCAAACTCCATGTAATGTGTGAAACAGCTCAGTGCAATGCAATCCACTGAGAAATATCACTTTGTTCATAGGGAATAACACAATATGGAAGTTCTTGCCCTGACAGGTCATTTACATCTGTTTTGGGAACCACTGGGGGGAATAAATATGCATACATGAATTGTTCTTGTAAAACAATTTGTTAAGTTCCGGTTTTATGTTACCTAAGAGAAATTAAGCAAAGTCTAAATCTCCATTTTAATCTTGAATTTTGAATGCTACAGTGAGATGTATTGTCAAAGGCTTTCATGACTGTTTTCCAGAAGCATTATCTCCTGATGTTTCACCTACATTTATGGCAGGCATCCTCAGAGGTTGTGAGGTCATAACCTCTGAGGATGCCTGCCATAGATGAAGGTGAAGGGTCAGGAGAGAATGCTTCTGGAACATGGTCATACATCCCAGAAAACTTACATCAACCTTGAGAGAGGTCTCTTTGAAGCATCCAATTCAGCCTCCAATTCATCAACGTACTATACTCGGTTGAGAGACTTTATTAAGTACGACCTGATCAGGGAAAGAAATCATTGTTCCATGTTAGCTTCAGTGAGATCAAGACCTTTAGAGACATGTCAAGTAACATTTTGCTGATTGCTTCGTTGATTTTTAAGTCCCTTGTAAAAAGTTCTTGGTTTCTACAGTACAGTGGGCCTTTGGTATCTGCTAGGGTTTAGTTCCAGGACTTCCACAGATCCAAAAATCTGTCGATGTTTAAACCCCATGATATACCAATAGCAATAAAATGCTGTCTCTTATATGAAATGGCAAAATCAAGCTTTACTTTTTATTTTATTTTTTTGCCCAGGGGTGCAGGGAGGCGTATTTTCAAGCCAGGAATGGTTGAATCCTAGGATACTTCAATAGGGTGCCCAAGGTGTGAAGTTTATATGATATATAATTTTTAATCCATAAAATATTTTAGGCATCCAATATATTTTATTTAGCAGTCTATAGGCCCTTCCAAACAGGCCCTATATCCCAGTGTCCGATCCCAAGTTTTCTGCTTTAAACTGGATTATATGAGTCCGCACTGCCAGATTACATGGGATAAACAGAAAACCTGGGATCAGATCTTGGGATATTGGGCCTATCTGGAAGGGCCCTATGTCAATTTCTTTTAAAGATGTATGTAAGGATCATTTGTGCTTCGGTGGTAACTTTTATGTTTGTTAGCAAACTGAAAATATATTACATTGGAGTCAAGGAATGGAAATTTTGACAAATCTGGCAGGGATCACCATTTCACCATATGATTTAGAAATATTTCTGACATTATCATGTATTATCAGTACAGGTAACCTGCACTTCATGCTTTTCTGTTTCCTGTGAAAATTCTGAAATGGTACATTTTGCATTTCCCTCATAGAAAAACCATAGCAGTTTCTGGATACAAAGGAGTTTATGGGCTGGAGATGTACAAGATCGTGGTTCAGACGATACACAAGAAAAGCAAAAAGGGGGTGCAAGGTAAGAGGCATCAACATTTCCTTTCCTCCTTCTGTGGCAATGCCCCAAACCACCTACAGTTTATGTTTTATGGTCCCAGTGTTCTTCTCAATCACATCTGCAAAGATGCAGGCCTATTTAATTTATGATACTGGCAAAATACAAAAACTAGACTATGGCCCTGGGGGCTAAGAATCCAGCTCAGCTGCCAAATCAGTTATGCTTCGACAAAAGAAAATAAAAATAAAAACTCTTCATTGGTTAATCTTTTCACAAAATTTCCCCAACAAAAATAGAAACAATCTCTTTTATGCAGATCAAGCAAATGTGCATTTGGGTGCAGGAGAATCTTTACAATAAAGTGCTGACAAAGGGAGCACAACAAATGGATAAATATGCAAGTAAATCCTTATTTTACTCCCTATCATTGACTGTATGCTTTAAGTTAAAGGAGTCCTGATTTTTTCCCACTGATGCAAACTTTTTCAATATTTTTCAATAGGACATTTCAAATCCAACCTGAGAAAAGTGCTCAGAAAAAAATGATTTTTTGCACTAAAAGTTCTAGAATCCCCTATTCAAACTAGGGAATTGAGGGAGTAGGGGTTCAAAATAATGACAACTTTGGCTGAAAACATTATTTGTCATTCTCATAATGTGAATAATGATCTCTTCAGTTCTGCAAAACTTGGTAACATTAGTTTTTCAGGAGCCCCTGGCATCACAATGGGTTAAACCCTTGTCGGAGGTTCAAATCTGGGGAGAGTGTGGATGAGCTCCCTCTGTCAGCTCGAGCTCCCCATGCAAGGGAACATGAGAGAAACCTCCCACAAGGATGGTGAAACATCAAAACATCCGGGCGTGCTCTGGGCAACATCCTTGCAGATGGCCAATTCTTTCACACCAGAAGCAACTTGCAGTTTCTCAAGTCGCTCCTGACACACAAAAAATTAGTTTTTCAGAACACAACTTGAACCAACAAAGCAATTGTGAGAATTACAACCCAAAAGGTAAATTTTCCAAGCTCAGCAGTGCCAACAAGGGCAGACTTATACCAAAAATGACCTGCAACACAGTGGACAGGAAGAAAGGTGCATACTGTGCAATGTTCCATAATTATTTTAATCCAATTTTCAAAGGCTAGCAGGTATTTTACTATATTCCTGCCACCCAGTTTTCCAAAGCTTTTGCTAAAATGCAAAGCTGGGGACACCTCAAATTTAGCTCATGGAAATAACAACCAACTGGGAACTGTGCAGCAATAATTTTGTTTTGCGCGTGCGTGCATTCAATCATGCATGCACACACATGAAAATATAATAACATCTTCAAATCCATAGTGCATCTATGAGAATATGGAAGGCATTTGGATTAGACACATTCGTCAAATGATTTACCTTCACAATCATTTACTGAGCACCCGGGATTTTAATTTTCAGTTTTCCTCTAATATTGGTGGGTGAGTGGTGCTGCCACAACATTATGAACACAAAGCATAATATTCCAAATATATATATAGTCATTCTTGATATTTGCAATTGTTTCTCACCAACTTTAGAATGCTGTGTCGCTATATTCAAGTATGGATCTCCAGTTTGCCACATAATCGTTTCCATAATATATTTTTGAAAGAATGAAAGTATCAGTAGTGTTGTATTCCCTCCTCTCTTTTTTAAGTGGGATTGTTTTTGCATCCTTCAAGTCATTCTTTTTAAATAGTGGGAAGCAGGGTAACAATGTTCTACTGAATACCACCAAAGACTCCTCAGCATCAGTGAAAGTTCTCTTTAAACAGAGCACTTGAAGGAGAGAAGACTAGGTCCTTAAGTAGTGCATTTCATAATAAGTGCATTAAATCCCATGGCTAAGATGCTCAAAATGAGCCAAAATAACAGTCCTGACCCACCCTCTTTTCCTTTTATTTGGAAAACCACAGGCCATCAAAATGAAGTTGAGTTATTGAGTTTCTTTTCCAGGCTTCATATGAAAATTGATGTTGAGAATCACTTGCCTAAAGAGACTGAACACAAGAGGATACCACTGAACTTTTGCAAGTTCTGCATGAGATCCACAGAGCTGCGTGATGGAGCGGTAAGATCCAAAGAAGAAGAAGAAGAAGCAGTAGTAGAAGGAAATGCTTTGGTTGCCTTGAGCTTTCATGTTTTTCAAAGGAACAGGTGTTTCCCTCCCAAGTACAAGAAAAGTGCTTGTAAGGTGATGACGCAGGAAAGACACTGAGATTTAGGAGAAGAAGCAGGTAGCAATGTAAAATTTCTCCTGTCGTTTTTTTTAGCACAATGGATCCAGATGACACCTGCCCATAGTTTCATTCAGTCATCTTCTCGGCACATTGGGAAGTTGACAAAAGTGAAGACGTTGAACTCTATCAGTATGGAGAAGCACAAGAAGATGGCATAAAGGCTGAGCACATAAATGCCCAGCTTCCGGTCAAGTTTCCATTTGTTTATGTGGATACCACCAACCTGTAAGAATACAATATCTGAGTTAACAAATAACAGAAAGACATGAATTATATACAAACTAAAGCAGGCATGGGTAAACTAAGGCCTGGGGGCCGGATGCGGCCCCCTGGGCACTTACCTCAGGCCCTCCTTATTTTCTCTGTCCTCTTGGCATAAGGTTACGGCAGCTCACTGCATCCTTATGCCAAAAAGATGGGGGAGGAAGGCATGCAGCAGCGAAGAGTCCTCTGGAGCACTTTCAGCCACCTCGTGTCTCACCCTCCTCCCAGCATAAGGACGGTGCAAGCAGCCCCATCCTTATGCCAAGATGACTGATCAAGGAAGGCATGTGGTGGCTGAGAACCCTCCAAAGCACTCTCAGCCTCCACCTGTTTTGCCTTCCTCCTGGCATAGTGCCAAGAGGACAGCCCAAGGATGATCGGAGCAGTTGCCATGTGTCATGCTCTCCTTCCAGCATAAGGATGGAACAAGCAGCCCCATCCTTATCCTGGAGGACAACCTGAGGATGACCCAGGCCCTGCTCTGTGCTTCCTGGCCTCACCCTCTCCCAGACCTTATCCCTTGCAGACCCACCCCATCCAGTGTGCAAACAGGCCCCCTCCCTCCCAGACCTGGCCCTTTTGGCTGGGTCCACAATGCGGCTCCAAGGCAAATAAGTTTGACCATGCCAGAACTAAAGGCAAGGAACATTATCAAAAACATTTTAGAAAAAAAACAGTTTTACAAAAACAAGTCATCACATAAGGAGCCCCCGGGGACACAATGGGCTAAACTCTTGTGCCAACAGGACTGCTGACCGAAAGGTTGGCAGTTCAAATCTGGGACACAGGATGAGCTCCCATCTGTCAGCTCCAACTTCTCATGCAGGGACACGAGAGAAGCTTCCCACAGGATGATAAAACATCTGGGCATCTACTGGTCAATGTCCTTGTAGATGGCCAATTTCTCACAGTTTCTCAAGTCGCTCCTGACACACACACACTCACACACACAAATAAGGAAACTGGCTTCCATGTTTTCTGTTATAGGTGGATCTCCCAGCACCTTGCAACAGCAGATGAGATGCTGCCAGGAACATCAGAGAAACAAACATCATCCAGGAGAATAGAGGGAAAGGGATGCTCCAACTGTTCCTTTTCTCATGTAATCAATTGATTGAAGAGTTGTTAAATTGGAGAATCATTTAAAAATTAACTGTCTGTACTGTTGTTGTTGTGGGAAAATTTAAAAAACACTTTGAAGTGAATAAATGGACCTCTCCCTTATTGATTCTAGCAAGGGCTGATTGACTGACAACTTTAGCGTTCTATAAAATGTTAAGGGAATACAGCTTTTGAGATGTTTTCTGAATTTCAGAGAAGAGCTGGCATCATATAATCATAGAATTGGAAGAGACCTTGTGAGCCATCCAGTCCAACCCCCTGCCAAGAAGCAGGAAAATTGCATTCCGACAGATGGCCATTCAGCCTCTGCTTATAAGCCTCCAAAGAAAGAACCTCCACCACACTTTGGGGCAGAGAGTTCCACTGCTGAACAGCTCTCATCTGTTAGGAAGTATTTCCTAATGTTCAGGTGAAACCTCCTTTCCCGTAGTTTGAAGCCATTGTTCAGTGTCTTAAGTCTCCAGGACAGCGGTAAACAAGTTTGCTCCCTCCTCTCTATGAGTTCCCCGCAAATATTTATACATGGCTATCATGGTATTGAAAGCCACAGAAATAGTACACATTTCTGGAGAACCACCTCACAATATCACATTAGTTAGGCAATTCTGGAAGGACAATTTTTGCCCTTTCTTGGATCTTCATGGAATACAATCCACTCCAACTGATATCTGGGAGAAAATTTGTCTGCAAAATAGGCAGTTCTTGTCTCCTGAAGCTGGGTTAATGGTGAAACATGACAACGTTGGACTGTTACTATAATTTGCTCTTCATGCCTTTTTGTGGGGCATGGCAAAAAATATAAATTGGCAATGAACTGCTAGTTTCTAAAAAGGATTTTTCTTTGCCCTTCCAAAAATAAAAAATCAAACTGGGGAAAAATCCATTTAGAGGGCAAATTGTGCCCTCCAGAGGCTTTTGTTGGCACAATCTGTCATTTGTAGAGTTGGAAAGTTGGAAAGGATTCAGCAAAGACACACCCAGTGTCTAGGATACACTTTGCCCACTTCATATAATAATGATATATTATATTAAATGGTTGTATGTAGAAAGCGAATAATACAATAGGAGGATACTTACAGTAAGAGCAACAGATCCTAGGAGAAGCACAACAGAATAGACAAGCCCCTTGCTGTTTATCTTAACCTGTTGAAAATGAGAAGAAATGCAGTTTTAAAATATTTTGTACAACTTACTGATATAATAACCCACAACTATATGGGCCTCAGTGGCACAATGGGTTAAACCACTGAACTGCTGAACTAAAGGTTGGCAGTTCGAAGCTGCAGGTTAGGGTGAGCTCCAACTAGTAGCTTTAGCTTCTGCCAACCTAGCAGTTCAAAACCACTTCAGTGGGAAGGTAAAAAAGGGACCCATGCAGCCATTCTGGCAACACAACCAGGAGGTGTCTACGAACAACAGGCTCCTCGGCTTGGAAATGGAACAAAAGAACCTCCCAATGTCCAGAGTTGAGCACTGCCTCCAGAAAGCCGGAGATGAAAGGGGAAGCCTTTACCTTCTTCATTGTATTTGTATGTCATTGTTATTTCATTGTATTAAAGGCATTGAATGTTTGCCTATCTATGTATGTTGTAATCTACTCTGAGTCCCTTCGGGGAGATAGAGTGGAATATAAATAAAGTGCATTATTATTATTATTATTATTATTATTATTATTATTATTCTCTTTTTAAAATAGCATAAAATAAACAAAGTCAGTGAAGGACTCTATGCTCCTTTTATGTCAACAGGAATTTTGCTATGAAATTTGCCATGCAGAAATATTAAGTACATAAGGAATCAGTGATCAAATCTTGCAATTGCAATCTATTAAACAAACCAACTGCAAAGTTATGGGAGTTATGGGGCATCTTCCCTTTTTGTATCTCTACCAGCTATTACAATGCTTTCTGCGATTGCTCTTTGCAACAGCTCAGACACCACTTCCAACAGAGTTAGTCCCCTGCAGGGGGTGGCACCAAGTCAGTAATCTGTGGGAGGGCCAAGCATTCCTGACAACAGTGATGTGATCATTGCTGGGAATGAGGTCTCAGGACATTTGGTCAAAGAACATTTGGATAAGGAAAATTTGGATTGGAGAAACTGTTTTCTGGAATGTATATACACTGTGTTGGACTCAGATTTAGTCATACTATGTAATGACAGATCTAAATCAATGGGAATTGTTTGTCATGACTAACCTAAGTCCCACTGATTTCACAGAACTAGTTTTAAGTGTAGCTAAGTGTAAACCTCACCCACCAAATTTTCAAATTGGATGGGGTTATTTTTTATATCCAATGACTTCAGCTAACTGGGAATGCATAAATAATACTTTATTCAAGTTATCTGCTTTGGTAATAAAAAACTTGGAAAGAATTTTGTACACGAATATACATACATTTGAGCCATAATTAACCACCATAGTCTGCAAACCCCATGGTACTCCAAGGCCCACCAGAATGTCAAACACATTGCTGCCAATTGTATTTGATACTGCCATGTCACCAAGGCCTGAAAAACAAGAAATTCATAATTAAAACCACCTTTTGGTCCTAGTAGCAACTCTTTTTTTACATCAGGGAAGATGTCAGTAACTTCTAAAAGGAAGGATCATACGCAGAAACAAGTATAATGAAATTGCTTTTGGACACAGCTCCACTCCAGGGTCCCAGCTGGAAATAAAGCCGTACTTTTTTTCTCCAGAAAGGATCTCTCTTGATATTATATCTCCTATCTGCTGCAACAAAATAATCTACTTGTCTACCCAGAAGTCCCTCTGAGAGCAATGGGGTTAACTCCAATAAATCATCTTAAGTCTCATCAGTTTGACAACTGCAGTCCAACAATTTCTTCAATGCAGGATTTCCAACTAGAGCTTTGCAGTCTGGTAGTTGGCCTACAACTCCCAGAAATCCCATCCAGTTTACCAGCTGTTAGGATTTCTGGGAATTGAAGACCAAAACATCTGGGGACCCACAGGTTGAGAACCACTGTTCTAGTCAGAAAAGCAGAGCAAAGATTTTGTTGTTGGGGAGAAAGATGGGAAGTTGCCCTGTCCTTTCCCTAGAAATGAAGCAGAGACAGGAGATAGGGTTGGAAAAGAGTAAATGCTCTACTTTCACTCTGAGCATGACAATAGAGCATTTGCTAATACACACAGTTTCACTTATCTATGGGAAGTCTATCTATAGCAGGGGTTTCCAAACTAAGGCCTGTGGGCCGGATGCGGCCCTCCAAGGTCATTTATCTGGCCCCTGCCCTAAACTTTAGATTTAGGTTTGCCCTAAGTCTGAAATTACTTGAAGGCACATAACAACAATCCTAACTAACTTGACTATTTCAGCATCCAAAAGTAGGCCCACACTTGCCAATGAAAAATGGGTAAGTTTATGCTGGTGAAAATTGCTCTTCATTTTAAATATTGTCTTGTCTTTCATTGATTTTTTTTTTGCATTATAGATAAGATATGTGCAGTGTGTATAGAAATCCGTTCAATTTTTCCAAACTATAGTCCCGTCCCCGTCCCCCCCAACAGTCTGAGGAACCGTGAACCGGCCCCTCACTTTAAAAGTTTGAATACCGCTAATCTATACCTTTCATTGCTATGGGGGCCATACTGTATACCCATAACTAATAAGTTGAGACCGAATTTAGCCAAATGAAATTGTTGCACTCAGCTTCTCAACAGGACTTTAGTCATGACTAAATTTTTTCATTCTTTTTCAATGGAATCATACAACCAAACTCAACGTGGATAAAAGCCAACTATTTGTTTTTGAACACATATTGCTTCTAAAATCCTGACAGGTTAATATGCATATTTATACCACTTTCTACCACTTTGTTTAGTCCAAAAGCATTAGCTTTGCTCCCTTTTGACATTGATTGAGGTTTTTGTTTTTCTTTAAAGCGCACATTTTTGTACACCATTTCCCCTAAGACACCCATTTTTTCAAATGTGTTGCCTTGATATACGCCTTTATGTTTGTTCTTCTCCCTAATGTATGTATTTTTGCATCTAATTTTCTCTAATGCATGCATTTTTCTTGAAGAACTTAACTGGAGGGTAATTACATGCTTTGGTTCATGGATTAATTCAAGAAAGACAAATTGGGTTCTTCTATACTAAAACATGAACCAAACAACTTTCACATCCATTCCTATCCTTAATTGATATGAATCGTATTTGCATATGGCAAAATGTAAGGAGCCCCTGGTGGCACAATGGGTTAAACTCTTGTATTGGCAAGACTGCTGACTGAAAGGTCAGTGGTTCGAATCCGGGGAGCAGGGTGAGCTCCCATCTGTCAGCTCCAACTTCTCATGAGGGGACATGAGAGAAGCCTCCCACAGGATGGCAAAACATCTGGGCATCCACTGGACAATGTCATTGCAGACAGTCAATTCTCTCACACCAGAAGCGACTTGCAGTTTTTCAAGTCACTCCTGACATGATAAAAAATAGGGCAAAATGTACTTATGTAAAGAGCAATCACAAGTACACCTTTGAATCCATTCTAGACATTACCTTGTCTTGCTACTATGAGGCTGGCCATGCAGTCTGGTACACTGGTTCCTGCCGCTAGGAAAGTAATGCCCATGATAACATCAGGTATCCCTAGGGTGTAACCAATTACTGTAACCTATGCAACAAAGGAAAACAAAGTTGTTGAAAACAATAGGGAAGCCTTTTTGTGGTCTCAAATTCACAACAGCAATCCTGACTCATAGATCACTTTGTCTTCTTGAGCATGGGGGTGTTGACATGAATCAAGCACATAAACACAAGGATTTCAGTAATGAAACAAAATTGCAGCCGTGATCTCACTAACCATCTAGAACAAAACAAAAATTCCTGTAAATAACTGGGCTCAACCATGAGAGCGGAGCAGTGTGGTGTCAAGCATCTGTGCATTTCTTACTTGTTTATCAGAAATTTCAAAAGATGCATTCGAACAGCATACTCACATGCGTTTATAAAAAGGCATTCTAGAATGATGCCCCTTATATAACATTACAAAATCAAGGTTTCCTTTTTGAAACTTAAAAAAAGTTTTCTAATGACTGTTCTAGAATGCAACCAATGGGTGCCTCAATCATATTGTTCTTGCTGCATTTCTCAAAACACAATTTGTTTCTTTATTTTATTTACTGTATTTTTACCCCGCTCTATCTCACCCCAAAGGGGACTCAGAGCAGCTTCCAGATTGGCAATAATGCCACAACAAACAAAAACACACAAATACAATATACACAATACATTAAAATCAATAAAAATAATAAAAGTCACAACATAGCAGTACATTAAAATAAACTGTTAAAAATAATAAGATCCAGAATCATAATCCACAAGCCCTTCCAATTGTGTTACAATCACTTCATGGCTCCCTACTCTTCATGTGCTACCCTCTGATAGCTTGGTTCCACAGCAAGGTCTTTAGTTTCTTTCTAAAGATCAGGAGGGAGGGGAACTGATCTAATTTCACTGGAAAGGGAGTTCCACAGAGGAGAGGCCACCACTGAGAAGGTCCTGCTCCTCATCCCTACCAGTTGCACCTGTGCAGAAGGTGGGACTGAGAGCAGGGACTCCCCAGAAGATCTTAGCCTCCAAGGTGGTTCATAGAATGAGATATGTTTGGACAGGTAAGTTGGGCCAGAACCATTTGGGGCTTTATAGGCTAAAGGTAGCATTTTGAATTGTGCTCAGTAGCAGACTGATAGCCAGTGGAGCTGACATAATGGGGGGTTGTGTGCTCCCTGTAGGCCACTCCAGTGAGCAGTCTTGCTGCCGCCCATTGGACTACTTGAAGCTTCCAAACAGTCTTCAAAAGGCAACCCGCTTACAGTGCATTGCTGCAATCTATTTGAGATGTAACAAGAGCGTGGATCACTGTGGCCAAGTCTGGCTTCTCAAGGTATGGGCACAGCTGGCACACAAGTTTTAATTGTGCAAAAGCTCCCCTGGTCACTGCTGAGATCTGGATTCCAGGCTCAGTGATGAATACAAGTGAACTCCCAGGCTGCAAACCTGTGATCTCAAGGGGAGTGTAATCCCATCCAGCACAGGATGTAACCCTATATCCTGTTCGGCCTTGTGACTGACCAGGAGTACCTCTGTCTTGTCTGGATTCAATTTCAATTTGTTTGCCCTCATCCAGATCATCACCGCTTCCCAAGTACCACTTCAGGACCTGGACAGCCTCCTTAGAAGCAGGTGGAAAGGAGTGATATCGAGTTGGACGTCATCTGCATACAGATGACATTGAACTCCAAAACTCCTGATGATCTCTCCCAGCGGTTTCATTTAGATGTTAAGCAACCTGGGGGACAATACGGAGCTCTGCAGGACCCCGCAGGACAAAGGCCGAGGGGCTGAGAAGGTGTCCTCCAACATCACCTTCTGGGAGCAGCCCTCTAGGAAGGACCAGAGCCACTGTAAAGCAGTGCCTCCAAGTCCCATTCCTGTGAGGTGCTCCAGAATGATACCGTGATCTATGGTATTGAATTATATATCTCCAGTTTCTAGACACAGTTTCTAGGATTATAGGAACAGTAGTCCAAAAACTAACATTTGTGAGTTGACTTTAGGGCAGGCATGGGCAGCTGGTATGCTGTTAGGAACTGTGGCAGTTGAAGTCAAAAACACCTGGAAGGCCAAAGTTTGCCCATGCTTGCTTTAGAGCAGCCTTCCCTGGGGAATAGAAGACTGGGAACTTCTGGTGAAAAAAAAATCTCTAGCTCAAAATGGAACCAAAATAGAGAAGTTTTAAATTTAAAAAAGCAACAACACATTTCTCTTCTTAATATGTCTCCAGGGACAGAGTAACCTAGACAGCTCATGTTTTCCATTAAAGTGGGAGTCATGACACACTCTTGTTTTAACAAACACAAACACCCCTTATAAACTTGTCTTCTCCTAAGACCACATGCCTGTTTCTGCCAAAGACTCATAAACTCAGTGATTTCATGTGGTGCTCTTTTGGAGGCCACAGTGCACTTGGATGCACTGAAGTGGATTTTTTTTTTACCATTTTCGAAAAAGGCATTATTTCATCATCTTAGCATCAACATTTAAAAAAAAATTGCAGCAGAATCTTGCTGAGAGCAGGACTGATTGGCTAGAATCAGTGAAAATATAAAGGTCACTCTCTGAAGAAGTTTTAAATAAATGCTTTTTGGCATAAGATGATACATAAGATGCCTTTTAGTACATCAGGTTAAACTGCCAGCTGTAGAAAATCTTGCCAATTGAAAGGTTGGCAGTCCAAGCCCGGGTCAGGGTGAGCTCCTGTCGTCAGCTCAGCTTCTGCTCACCTAGCAGAGCAAAAACAGCAATGTGAGTAGATAAATAGGTACCGCATTAAGTGGGGAGGTAATAAAAGATGCCCATAAGGACATGCTGGCGATTTGATCAGGAGGACATCTATGGACAACAAAGTTCCTTGGCATGGAAGATGGAGCAACTGCACCTTTCCATGGCTGGAGCTGAGTACAGCCTCCAGATGCCAGAGATGGAAAAAGATGGGAAAGGCTATACCTCTGTTTATGTATTGCCTGTCCTTGTTGATTGTGTAACAGCATTGAATGTTTGTTATATATGTGTTTTGTAATCCACCCTGAGTCCCCTCAGGGAGACTGAATGGAATATAAATAAAGTATATTATTATGATTATTATGGCGATAAAATAACCATCTTGTTCTAAAAAACATTTATTAAAAACTTTTAAAACTGCTTCAGAGAGTGGATTCATAATCAGTCCTGCTCTCAGCAAAATTCTGCTGCAAATCTGAGGTAATCTTTTTAAAATGTTGCTACTAGATAGTGAGAATTACACTTTCATTTCTTTTTAAAGCATGAATATGTGTCCTCTCCCTTTCTGCCTTGTAAACACCACTTGAGTTTTCACTTTCATTTTTTCCAAGGACTTGGCAGTTTAGATTTGACCATTGTTTTTGTACACATTGAGATTAGAGAATGGGGGGAGAGGGGGCGGGAACCACATGGCAACAAACTCTTTTAGTTGCTGGGGTGTTATGTTATATCATACTAACAGTTGAAAACCAACTTATAAATGCCCTGAAAGATCTCTCCAGTTACTACAAAGGTAACCACCTGAAGCCTAATCCTGCCAAGACACAAGTGTGTGCTTTCCACTTGCATAATCGTGAAGCTAACAGGAAACTGATGGTTATCTGGGAAGTCCAAGAGCTTGAACATGGTTCCCAGCCTAAACATCTCGGTGTCACCTTAGAACAAATACTAACATTTAGGAAACACTGTGCGAAGACCAAGCACAAAGGAGCTGCATGCAATAACATCCTGCAGAAACTTACTGGCAGCGCATGAGGTGCAGACCCAAAATTGATAAGAACATCGGCCCCGGCCCTATCTTACTGAGTATGCCTGCCCTGTTTGGCACAAGTCTGCCCACGCGAAGCAGGTTAATATAGCACTCAATGAGACATGTAGAATAATCACAGGATGTCTTGAACCTACACCTGCTGATAGATTTTATAAGTTAGCTAGTATTGCCCCCCCCTCCCAATGTGCGATGGAAAGTTGCGGCCAATTGCGAGAGAAATAAGTTGGACACTGTGAAAGCCACCCACTGCATGGCTATCAGCCTCCTCCCAGTAGACTTAAATCAAGGAAAAGTTTCATGAGAACCACCACTCCTCTAAATGTTCCTCCAGCAACAGCAAGAATATCCCCATGGGCAGCAAGACCAGGCAATTCCAACTGGATGCCCCCCATAAGGGTCTTCCTCCATGGGCAAACCAAGAATGGGCAACCTGGAAGTCTCTGAACAGACTCGGAAGTGGAGTTAGCAGATCGAAAGACAACCTGGCAAAATGCACTACCTAGAAGAATCCTCCACCTTGTGTGACTGTGGAGCAGAACAAACAACTCTGCACCGGTATGGTTGCCCAGAATGCCCTGCCTCATGCACAGAGGAAAAACTGTTTAAAGCTACAGACAATGTGGTCAATGTTGCCCGTTTTGGGTATAAAACTATTTAGCTGCTTGTGATCCCTTCATTTTATCTGTTTTATACCAATTTATTTATACAATGCTTTTGATACAAAATAAAGTAAAATGTTATATTCTGCTTTTCCTTACACTTTTATTTTCAGTGTTACTTTAAAGTCAATTGTCCATGTTAAAAAAATAACTATTTTTGTATCTACTCACCAGCCACACCATAACATAGGAAAACATTGCAATCCATACAGTAGATAAGAGAAAGGTCAGCATGAAAAAATTCTCCCAGCGAGGTTTGCTGCAATTTGGGACGGTGAAAAAGAGGAGGAATATCAGTGGCCAGGTCAGAATCCATTTGAGTTTGTCCGTTTTTCCTTCTGCATAAGAAGAAAGGGAGACAAAACATTTTTCCTTTGTACATTTAGGATTTAGGCACATCTATATGTCAGCATATTTAAATAATAATTCAGAGCAAGCAAGGCATAGTGGTTTAAGTATTGGACTACAGTTCTAGAGGCCAGAATTGGAATCAATTTTCAGGCAACAAAACCCATTTGGTGACCTTGGTTGTGTCACATTTTCTCAGCCTCAGGGGAAGGAAAAGGCAAACTCCCTCTGAACAAATCTTTCAAAGAAATCCCCTGTTTCTGGCCTACAACTCCCAGAAATCTCAGCCAGTTTCTTAGCTTTTAGGATTTCTGAGAGTTGAAGGCCAAAAACATCTGGGGACCCCAGGTTGAGAACCACTGCGTGACCAAGGGCCAGTCAGCAAAGTTGCTGTGTGGAGACACTTATCAAGGGCGGCATTTGAATTCACTAAAGGCAAGGCAGAGAAGAAATAACTACTAACTATTATACTTCCTTATAATGGCATTTGCTTTGCTAAAGTAAAAGTAGCACTTATTTTTGTTTTAAATCTGGTCCTAAAGCAAAATTAGGGAGATAAGCCAGATACCAGCAGTGGACTGAATTCACATTACATTTTGGAGACAGACCATAAGTGATAAGTTTTCCAGAGAAGCACTATAGACAGGAAACAATTTGGAGCCTTATCTGAGTGAGGGACATGGACATAGCCCGATCCCAGGGACTCCACATTTTAATTTCTACTTAGCAGCACCAGTATTATTAAAGTCCTTGTGTAGGACAGCAGTGGAGGCAGTGGGAAACTAAAGTAATCTGTGAATAATCAAATCTGTAAATGCTTCACCAGCAAATGGGGAGGGATGACTGTAGTGTGAATGCAGTCATATCATTTGGCAAAGTCGGTAATTTCAGGAAGCAGATGCTGGAGGGTGGGCATTGGCAAGACATCAATTAGATCTGCATGTTGGTGTATTTCCCCAATTACTACACTTCTGCTAGTTAATTCGACGTGGTGAAGGACAGTGTTTAGAAAAATGTTTCTATGATAACCATGGTTGGACCAACATTCAACAAGTTTGGTTGGCTTTCATTTGGTTGGAATAAAGGACGCAAAATTTTTTGACCTCCAGCAAGACAACATAAATCTTTTGTTGACCCACAGAAGAACAGCCCTTATTGGCCTGTACTAACAAAATCACAACACAGATGTGTATAATAAAAAGAAGTCACAAGTAACAACATGATTCAAAATTACTAATCTCAAGAATAAAACTTCCAACAGTCTCACGAAAGAATGAATGAGTTGTTCAGGACGTATAGAATTTTATATTTTACTAAAACAAAAACACACTATGACACAGCACGTGAGATATATGTGCTGGATTCCGTATCACAAAATCACAAGTCGAACGCTTCCCAATAATAATAATAATAATAATAATAATAATAATAATAGTAATAGTAATAGTAATAATTTATTTATACCCCACTTTTTCTCTTCACAATGAAACTCAAAGTGTCATTGAGAACACTGCAAAAAAATGGAATTCCTGTATTTCATTTGTATCTTATCATATTTGGGACATACAAATAAAAAATGGTCAGGGGATTTGACAGAAACCCACTACTTTATCACAATCATTAAATACTCCTGCTTAATGTGTTGTGTATTTTATATGTTTTTATGTTGCCATGTGGCACTGAATTATTGCCAAACTGAAAGCTGTTCTGAATCCCCTTCAGGGTGGAGATAGATCGGGGTAAAAGTGCAGTACACAAATAAATAAATAAATAAATAAATACTACTGAGCCACCCACTTAAGATATGGCAACCTACTGTGTTCATCACACGACAAAGGCTTCAAGTATAGGATGGAGATAGCTTGGAGTTAAAAAAAGCATTGCAAAGGGTTATCTTTTCAGATGCTTTCTAAGCTGGTTGAAAAGTGAATTTTTTTGCAAATTATTCAGATAGTGATGGGTAAATCGTGTGATGGTATTCGTCGTTCTCAGCTTTAAAATGATATAGTTAGGCAATTTGTGGGAGAAGCCGAAATGCCCCTTTGAGAAAAAGCTTCACCATTACTTATTGCTCAGCAGTATGTTGTCTTCCTTTCTGTCTCATGTACTTTCTGGGGGCCTTCCTCCCTTCTCTGTGTTGTGTGTACCATGTGTTACCTCTCCTCCTCTTTTTCTTTCCTTCCTTCTTCCAACACAGGGAAAGAGGGAGAGAGAAAGAGGAGGATCGCTGGAAGTGCGGCGAAAGGAGAGCCCCCAGACGCCTCCTACCCCCTTTTCCTCCTTTGGTTGACCTCAAGGGCTACCTTATCCAACCCCCTTCTTTCTGCCATGTAGCAAAAGCATAATCAAAGCACCCACAAATAATGCCTCTGAATAATAATAATAAGAATAAGAATAAGAATAAGAATAGTTTGGATTATTGATGTCGCCATACCAGGTGACAGCCGAATTGACAAAAAACAACAGAAAACTCAGCCATTATCAAGACCTCAAAATCGAACTGCAAAGGCTCTGGCATAAACCAGTACAGGTGGTCTCAGTGATCATCGGCACACTGGGTGCCGTGCCAAAAGACCTCAGCCGGCATTTGGACACAATAAACATTGACAAAATCACAATCTGTCAACTGCAAAAGCCACCTTACTTGGATCTGCGAGCATCATTCGAAAATACATCACACAGTCCTAAATGCCTGGGAAGTGTTTGACTTATGATTTTGTGATACGAAATCCAGCATATATATCTCGTTTCCTGTGACATACTGTGTTTTTGTATCAATAATAATAACAATCAAAAATATGTTCCTAGTTTGTAAGTGTTATTTCCTGTTTAATTGTGTAGTCTTTACTTTGAAAGTAGTTGTGCTCCACAAACTTCACTTTTGTGCCCACACACTATGTTAAATTGGTGAAGACTCTACAAGATATTCAGTCATTGCGAAACTAGAGCAAAATGTGGTATAGCAGGGTGTCCCTCCTGCAAAAACAATAAACCTTTCCCATGTGTTTATGATAGAACCAATTAAGAAATAACATTTATAACCCAGGAACAAAAACCATAGTCCAGGAAAGGAGGTGTTTCTTTTCACAAATAAAAAAGGGAGGGGGCAGTGGTGATAACAAATCAACTACCCATTTTACTCAGGAGTTCTTAGTTGGTTTGCTACAATGGGATGGCAAATCAACTAAGAACTCCTGAATAAAATTGATAGTTTGCTAGTGTGTGATGGTAGTAGGAAAATCATCCTTTTAATTTCAAAACTAACTATGCCTGAGCTGTATGGTAATGTACTTTTCCAAACACTTGTTATGTTCAGTGGGATGAAGTCTCAAGTCACAATGACAAGCACTGTTGGCAATACGTGACATCCTGCAGTAGCCAAAGCTCTCCTCTAGGTGGGATTAATCAAAATGCAATGATATATCTTTTGTTGACCCCAACTAAAGGTTGGGGTCAACAAAGCTGTCATATCTTTTGTTGACCCCAACTAAAGGTACCACTTCAATGCTGGCTTATATGTTATTATAATCAGTCATTTTTAGCTTAAGTTTACACATTTGTACAAGGTTTTCTTTGCAATCACTGTCTTGGCTTCTCATAATGAATCTTTAGGTTATTAATTTGTCAAAGAAGTGGAGAACAGAAAATTCTATTAGCTTCCTTGCATAACTACATTTCCCTAGGGTTGCAAAAGGAGAAAGAATGAATATGGAAGTAGGTTGTAGCCTTTTATCTACATTCTTTCAAATATTCTGCTCAGATGGAAAGCCTAAGGATGAGGAAGAAACTACAGAATTCCACAGCAGTACTGATGATTGAGTCTAAATCTTGAAACACTTGGGTTAGCTTCCCCAAAGTGGAAATAAATCCTTCTCTCTCGTTGAGTTCATCGTATCTTTTAAAATTTACCTGGAGGTGAAAATGGAGACAGATTAACGTGTTCAGTCTCCCCTTCTTGGTTATCAATGGGTATCGAGCCATTTTCAATGTTCTCATGTTTGCCATTCTGTATCAGCTTGCCATTAGTCGAATGGATTAGTCGCTGCCGCTAGAAAGGGTGAAAATCAGCTCTAGTGAAAGCCATCTTAGCTGTTTTTGCTTGTTTGTTTACATTTGTTATATATTACTGTCCTGATCCCAACTCATCGTAAACATTTAAATGGATTTGCTAATTTGAGCTCTTTTATAATTAGGGTACAAGGATTTTTTTCTAGCATGCTTAAGTATTTTTGTGGACTGTGTCTATTTATTTCAAACTGGAGTCCCTTTCCCTATGTTTTCCTTTTCAAGCCAAGAGGTATCAAAAGTCCTCTCCCCACTTGACATCAGCTCATTGTAATAGGTTTACTGTGAGATGGGATCTTTTGTATCCTCTGAGTGGCACACCAGCATTAACATGAAGTCAGATGGTCCAGCCTGATCGTTGCTTGCCTTAAGCTGTTGAATTCTCTTCCTTCATTAGTATACCAGTGACAGAGATAAGTGTGTATTTAAGAAGATCATGTCCTGCCTCTACTGAAGCTTCTCCCCACCCCCGTCTCTTTGTTTGACTCTTAATCAGCCATGCTGTAACCCAGCCATGGGGAATACAAGGCCCTCCAGATATGGCTCAGGTATAACACCCATGAGCCTGACCTATGGTCATTGAGGTTGATAGATGTCAGAATCCAACAATAACTGAAGGGACACAGATAACAAAGGTCCTTGGCATGGAAGATGGAGCGACAGCACCTCCCCGGCCGGAGTTGAGCACAGCCTCCAGATGCCGGAGATGGAAAAAGATGGGAAAGCCTATACTTCTGCTTATATATTATCTGTCCTTGTTAATTGTATAATAGCATTGAATGTTTGCCATAAATGTATTTTGTAATCTGCCCTGAGTCCCCTCGGAAAGACAGAGCAGAATATAAGTGAAGTATATTATTATTATTATTATTATTATTATTATTATTTTATATAGTATTTCACACAGAGCATGTGCTCTGTGCATTCTCTCCTCACCTTAAAACATCATAGTTTAAAACTTCTATTCCCTTTGTAAACAAAGACATTTTGAGAAAGAGATTATTCTGCAAAGCACCACACAGGTTGATTGCTACATAAACAATGCATAAAAATTGCATTTGTTTGTTTATTAGTTTGAAAAAGAATTGAGTTACCCATTAACATGAATTAGTTTTTTCTTTGCAGACTCACCTCATTGATAATGAGCCTGCTTGCCATCCGTAGCCTGGTCCTTGGCCCAAATTTGTTGGTAATCATTATTCGCAAGCCAGCTTCGGGAAACCGGTACTTTGGAGGACTGGAACAAATGATCTCATCGACCATCACCACGGAACTTCGGCCATACTGTTGTGTCCCCTTCACTATTGACCACAATGCCAATGGTTAGCTATACAATTTGCTCCCCTCTCTATGCCTATATATATATCAATGTTTGCTTCAAGGGTAATGCAAGCCTGAAAAACCTGAAATCATTGGATTTCGATCGACAGCCAGTTTAAGTTGCATGTCAATAAGTGCAATTTGGCATCTTTGTTTGAAACCTTACAGATTTCGATGGATCCAGGATGCTTTTTGCTCACAAGCCCTTCATCCTGTCTCACTAATGTCTTTTGGCTCAAATTATAATAATTGCTACCTTTTTATAATGTGTTTACTGTATGAAATTGACTTTTTAGGCCATTTATAATAATTCAAGTTTAAAATAAAGGCTGTGATCCATCCAAAGGTCACTCACAGTAATTTCAAATTTTAAAAAATCTAAGCACATGCTCCATTTTCTTTCAGCAAAATCTATAGATCTCAAAAGAGCTTAATTTGTATAGGCTGAGAATAATAATAAGGATTATGATAGAAATAATAAAAGCAGAAATAAGCTAATAACCAAAGCGCTGAAAATTAGTGAGGCTCTTTGACAAAACTATAAATAAGTTCATGGTCTGTTCATTTAAAAAACTGATAATGGTTTATAATCTCTCAACCACAACTACCATTTTAGGGATAATGTTGCCTCTACCTTCATTATGCTATGCCAAGTCACTGTGCAGCTTAGTAAAAGCTTGTTTTAATGGATTTGTGATAATTTATATTAAATTGAGAGCTTGACACTACGCTAAACTCTATTTCTAAACCCAGAGATAAAACATGCAAACCTGAGAATTAATAAAAGGAAAATATAACAAATGCATGCAAGTAGTACAACAAATGCTATCAGCTAGACAAAGGAAGCACAGTAAGGCTTAGCAGACAGGAGATGTGTGGTGTTAGATTACACACTGAAGTTAAGTAAAATATGATCCCCAGAGGAAAAAAGAGGTGGGAGTGAGGGAGAAAGGAAGGGATTGAAGGGCAATACCATTCTTTATTGCCCTAGTTACAAAATTGGATAAATATACAAACATACACATATTTACAGAAGGTTACTTACGTTGAGAGCAAAAGGAAATTTTAGTTTGTGGGGGAAAACAATTAAACAAACCATTAGTGCATAATTTCAGACTGAAAGCACTGGAGAAGAATCCAGCTCAAGCAAAGGAATAAGATAAGGTTCCTCATAAAAACCGACACGGGACGATGGCATGCCTGTTATTACAAACACAGATAAGTCAGAAGAAAGAGATGAGGAAGAAGTCCCAAGTAACCATTTGTTCCAAACTTTGTGTGCATCTGCACTGTAGAATTGATGTAGTTTGGCACCACTTTAACTGCTATTGCTCAATGCTATGGTCTGGTAGGATTTGTAGTTTGGTGAGGCACAAGCACTCTTTGGCAGGAAAGGCTACAGATCATGTAAAACTATAATTCCCACAGTTCCATAGCATTAATCCATGTTAGTTAACGTGCTGTCAAATAGCATGAAGTCTACAGATGTACCATGCATCCTGGACAAAAAAGAAGTACAGTCAGCCCTTTAGATCTGTTGACGTTAGGAACACAGAACCACCCTGAAAGTGAAAAATCACAAATGAAGAAATTGATATTTTTTTAACTCATAGCATACCTCTCTAGAAATGTCTAAGTGTTCCATCATGATTTTATGGTCAACTTCAACTGGAAGTCACTGGAGATGTGATCTTTGGCCAAATTACACTGAACTAGAGATTCCTAAAGAAGTCTTCTCTTTAGAAAACTCTAGGTTAGTGGTTCTCAGCTTGGGCTCCCCAGGTGTTTTTGGCCTTCAAATCCCAGAAATCCCAGCCAATTTACCCACTGTTAGGATTTCTGGGAGTTGAAAGCCAAAAACATCTGGGGAGCCCAGGTTGAGAGCCACTGCTCTAGGTCTTCCAGCATGACCAGAGGAAATTAACAATAGACTCAGACTAGGGGACCTAGAGACACTTTAAGCAAATCCATGATCAACACTGGCCAACCAAAACAAATTTCTTGGTGTCTTGGTTTTTAGGACTATTCCTGGAATTATTTGGAGTGCTGAATCAAAAACTTGCATAGACTGCATCAGCTCTAGTTTCTTAGATATGGTAATCGTGATTTTCTTTGGACAACTAGATGGTGATTGGCAGTTGGCATACATTCTGTATCTCAAAAAGTAGAGCTGATAGAGGGAAACCAATGCCATTTTTGGAATCAGGTCAAATACACCCAGAATCAGAGCTAATGTTTGAGGTACCAAAATGTGTATTGTTCAGTGTAATCAAATCCACAACTGATAAAACCACAAATATCGAAAGTCAACAGCACTATATTTTGCAGAAATTCCCTAGAGGTAAGTCCAAATGGCAGGTTCCTACCTGCTGCTTATGCAATTCACTTCTCAGCTAGTTGCACAGAGAGGAAACAATACCTCGGAGTGCTGAGGAAGAGATCCGAACTTGGGCTGAGTTTGCAAATACCAGCTATCTAGCTTGCGCAGGCAATCTAATGAACGGGGGAAGCAGCAAAGTGGACTGTTTGACTTCGAGAGTGAAGGGGCAAAACATTTTGGAACATTATCCTGTGCATTAGCTTCCTGCAAGTAGAAAAGAAGCACAACAGGGAGCAGACTGGGTTAGAACCCGTTCATTTGCTGTGCTAGTTATGATTAATATTGAAACCCAGATTTAAAAGACTCAGTGTGGTGCATTGGTTTGAGTGCTGGACTATGACTCTGGAGACAAGTTTCTTCTCAGCAATGGAAAAACATTGGGTGACCTAAGGAAAGTCATACTTTTTAAGCGTCGGAGAGAGGCAAAAGCAACCCCCATCAAACAAATCTTCCCAAGAAAACCCTATGATAGAGTCTCCTTAAAGTTGCCATAAGTTAGAAATGACTCAAAGGCACACAACAAGAAGAACAGCAGAAAATTACAAACAACACTTTCATTACAACTTAACAAGAAAACAAATAAAGTCAGCCCCCACATTTGCTAGGGTTAGGAGCACCATAAAGGTGGTGAAAAATGCAAATACAAAGCCTTTTTAAAAATTGAGAAAGCACCTCTCTAGGGATTTCTACACCCTCCAGGATGACTCTTATGGTCAACTTCTGGGGGACACAGACCACCGAGTCACACTGAAGGACCTAGAGATCCTAGACAGAACATTTTAAATGAAATCTGTGAATAATCAAATCTGCAAAAGTCAAACCCACAAATGTGGAAGGCCAGTTGTAAGTATAAAACACAATTAAAAACACAAAAATCAATTTAAGACACAATTAAAAAAGCACAACAAGCCAAGACAAACCCAGCACCCCGCTAATTTTCTGTTCTTCAGTGAGCTTTGTTTGATCAAGCAGTTTATTAAAAAGTGTAGTCCGTTCTACCATTTCAAGATTCAACCATACTATTGTGCTGCATACATATGCTAAAAAGCATCTTGTGACCAAATATGTAACAGTACTACTTATTTGGACTTTACAACACTCCAACGTGTATGACAGTTAGTCTAGCTAGGAGTGTGGGTCAGAAGTGTGTGGCCTGCTTCTTTTAGGCACGTCATGACAACACTTGCTTTATAAATGCATAAACTATATATTGGGGATCTGAGAACATAGCTTCCCATTAATATTCCAGAACTGAACTCTGATTATAGCACATGTTTCTGGAATGCCAAAAGGCATTCTGAATACTCCCCAGGTCTGGACCATTTGTATCCAGGAGTGCAGATAACAAAAATCACAAGGGTACACTGTATATGCAACAGAAGCTTTGAAAATATTAGATTAAAAAAACCCCAAAACCAATTACTGCCTTTGATGGTAAAACCTTTGTTATTTAAACCAACTTTAAAAATCAACAAGCGCTTAAACTAGAACCAGAATGTAAAACAGAGGGTTTTTAGATTATGACTATAACAGCTGACAAAAGGCAACCAAGGCTGTACTTTATCTATATAAATAAAAATGTAATGCTCATTTGTGGGATTAACATAACTCAAAAACCACTAGACAAATTGACATCAAATTTGGGCACAATACACCTATCAGGCCAATGAGTGACCATTACTCATAAAAACACTGAAAAACACAGCAGAAGAGACTTAAAAAGCCAAAAGGCGATATACAAATACAGTAAATAAATAAATAAATGCACATAACCACATAAACACACATATGCACAAACAAAACACATATACACAGACTGGGCCACAGCAATGCGTGGCAGGGGACAGCTAGTAAATAATATTATTGACCATCAATAAGATGGTTGAAGCATATTACAGCCTTCTGAAAACAAGTGCCTTCCAAACTTATTTGGCTTCAGCTCAGGATGGTTGTGCTTAGATATGCCATACTGTCTTAGCCTTACCCCTTTTGATTTGTAACGAAGCGTGAGTATATGTGCGAAAATACTAGTCTGACAGAGGTTGATAAAGCATTTCTGGTATAATATTTGTCAGCCTGAATTATGATGACTGGGAATAATGGGATGGTGATCCCAAACCTCAGGATGAAGCCTGTTTGTGGGGAAAGCCATTTCAATGCTTTAGGTAAAAGCCTAAATACTAAGAAATACAGAAATACTAAGCACCATTAAGTATGATTATTACAAGAGGAAGAATCGGCTACAAGTGCACATCACTGGATTCTAATGAAAGAGAAAATTGCGGTGTTTTCAAAGAGATAATCTTGTTAGGAAAGCATATTTCTCCAGGGCACTTCTTCAGTGGTGTCTCTGGAGTGTGCAACACGTCAGTGAAAAGCAACACAGAAGCAATAGCAGATTTGCCACTCACTATGGAGCTTATTATTCTGAGTGCTAACGATGCTGAGGAGTGAAAACTAAAGTGCCTGAGTGGCAGGATGCATGGAGGATGGTCAGAAAACTATAGAATGGGCTCAAAATTCTGTGAAATTCCAATGGGATTTTGGCCTGCATCAATAGGAGTATAGTGTCTAGATCCCCATGCTCTATTCTTCCTTGGT